TACGGTAATGGAAAGAATTGCACCGATCCATTTTTGGGTTAAGGCCTATGTTCAAGCTAAAGCTTCGATTGCATCACTGAAATCCAAAAAATGTATGAAAATCAAAAAAGGATTTCTTAGCGACAAATCCTGATCACATTTTTCTATACTACCTTGTATATACGACCCCAAACACTATATTTCGACGGCGGAGAAGCTTAGCGAAATTTTAGATATAGAGCCTCGCGACCTTCCGCGGGATAAGCAATCCTCGAGAGCTAAAGAAGGTATAATATTTATTATAAATTAGAGTGAGAGCTAGGGCATCTGCAGCTTCGACTAAGAAAGTATCTTCTTTTCAGAACTGCCAAAAGGTGAACCAAACAAAAAAACAGAAGAAACTTTCCTTGATTCTTCTAAGGAGGATTCGCTTTTTGACGGTAAACTTTATTATCTTGTTCATTGGTACGAATAATCATAAGAATTTGACTCAATTCTACAGTATTTGATTTTGTATCATTTGTATTGAAGACGTGATAGTTGATCGGAAAATGACCTTAATATAAGAAGTATTTATTTAAAATGGCTTGTGACAGGCAATCCTTTTCGACACCTTGTCCTCCCTATTCTCGCCTCCCAAACCGCTGTCCGTAGCCTTTTTCCTTTCCTCACTCCCCTCAATTTGTGACTTTAATGTTGCTCGGTTTTGCTTATGAATCTAAAAAAGGTATCTTTATTTTAGAAGCATTTTCAAACGATAAAATTTCCAGATAAGGATGAAGAGGTTACACGTATCTGCCTTCTACCAATTGATCCCGGAAAGTGTCACAAATCGTACAAAAGGTAAATGCATATGTTATGAGATGCAGCTCCAACTTTAGCGTATAGTAAGGATAAATTAAGAAGTTGGAAGACTTTGAGGAAAATTCCCTTTTTTACAAGACATAACACCCAAACTTTTTGAGTGCGATCAAAAGAGGTTCTTCTACTAGTACTGACCCAGTATTGGTATATGCTTATACTCAAAAATGAAATTCAACTCTTCAGGTATGGATACGATATAAGGAGAAAAAGATGTGTTAAATTTGATTGGGCCGGATGTGGAGGGAATGACAATCGTTTCCGGACAGCAATTGCATGTAGGGATAGTTGTGAGAACAAGCCCTCATTATTCATGGATGAATGTCTTCTTCCAATCGATCCTGGAAACTGCGAAATGTTGCAAAGAAGGTCTGATCATCAATGTGTTGCTTGTCCTTTGTTTGAAATGCAGTAGCGATCGCAGGAAATTTTTGCGCAGAAGGCAAGGGGAAAAAATCGGTTGAGAGTGAGAAGGGGCGTGGCGTAATCAGGTTTAGGCCACGCCCATTCTGATAACCGTATTCTTTTGCGATTCGAATTAAATTCTAAAATCTTTCATAAACGAATTTAAAAATCAACAAATAGAAGCAGGCTATATTCTGAGTTCAGTTAGAACTGTCTTCCTTTTCTGAATTTTCTAAACCGTCTGGGGAAGAGTTAGATGAAAACGCTCTCATCGTATCCATTACTGACTCCATTCTAGATACGGCTACGATAAAGCTACAGGAGAATGCGTTGAGTTTGATTACACTGGATGTGAAGGGAACGAGAATCGTTTTCGAATGAAATTTGAGTGTAAGCTTGCCTGTGAGGATCGTCCTTCACTACGTCAATACATAGGTATTCTTCCTTTGACTCCTTCAAAATGTAGCCCAAAAACTCTCAGAGCAAGTATCCTGTAATTAGGATATTGAGCACTTAACATAAACTCTCTTCAAAAGTATGTAGGCAAGCTTTTCCAGAAACAACAACAGTTCCATCCATTAACTCTACAGATGAGCTGACCAGCACTAGTAATGCAAGTAAGAAATTTAAGGAATTTATAAGAGTCAGAAAGTTGAACATAAAGAAAGCTAGAAAAAAATACAAAACAATTTTCTAGATGCGACTGACATTCGAGAAGAAGATGCATCAGGCGAAGATATATTCGAAGAAAGTATACATTAATGCTGGGCATTTAAGGTGTAATTTATTATAA